TGGAGTTCAGAGCAGTCGGGAGCTTGTGATTCAAAAAGACAGCCGCATCCTCAGGTGCCACCCCCTTTCCTCGCGCGCGCGAGCCGCCGTACCTCTGCACTTCACCTCCGCAGCGCCTCTGGCTCTCAGCGTGCTTTTCTTTCCTTCTAGTTGTAGAATTTACACTCAGCCAGCCTTTCTGTTGTTCTGGATGATGTTTGCTCAGTCCTTTGCGGTAATTTTCAATTGTTGTGTGAGGCGACAATTTCCCGGTGTTTACCTATGCCGCCATCTTAGTTTCTCCGAAGGCTACATTCTTTCCTAAAGTTCCTTTTAACTCTGACATTTCATGATTGCATAAATTTCATTCTTTGAAAAAAATAAAGGCAATTCCAACGTGGCATTATGAGAAAACAGTGAATACCATGGAACCACATTTACTTTGGAAAGATCTCGTTCAACACTAGGACTTCAAGAGTGATGTAAGATGATCAAAGAAGTTGTGAGGGATGGTGGATACATCAAAACCATGACAATGAGGAATGCTGAAGAAATAAGAAATTTAAAATAGAAACTATTAAAAAAAAACTACTATTTATACGGGGGGGGTGGGGGGAGAGAAGAACAATAAAGTAGGCTCCAAAACATTTCCCCATCAAAATGGGCAACACAATACACTGGATAATTTGTTCCTACTTGCATGATGTCATCATGTGAGGTTTAACTACTTTTAATAATGAGTGCATTTCAGTCACTTGTTCCCACATAAGATCGAATCAGCCTCTCAATGGCCTATACTTCATGAGTCATAATTTTTCTGTTTATGATTCACAAAATGTCTTCAGTCAGTATTTCCCAGACTGCTGTGAGTTTATTCCAAAAACCAATTTCATCTCCATTGGTTTCCTACAGGAAACCAGACCAACTTCCTATTATTTTATTTTCCTTACTTTTAGCATACCATAGCCCACATCAAATTAACTGGAAGTGAGGGTGATAGAAGACTTCACTCTGTGCAAAGAGAAGCCAACACAAACAATGCCCAGTCTAGAAGTCACAGATTCAAAAATAAATAAAAAATGTGCTAATATTAGAACCTTCTTTCAAAAGAGTTCCAAACTAAATAATAAGAAATATATTTTAATTAAACTTATTATAAGCATTTCACTGTAGGAAAGAACTTTTTTTTTTAAATTATTGTCTATGAGTGCAGTAAATCCAACAAAGCTGACAAATATACAGAAATTAATTATAAAAAATAAAATATGTATTTTCCATCCTATTCCCTAATAAGCTACCAGGAGAACAGGCAGACACAGCCCAGTGCACAGAGCCTGGGAGTTGTGGGGACAGAGAGACGTCTCCAGAGCAACCTGGCAGTCAGTCCATCTTCTCCACCTGCCTATGCCAGCCCCTGCCACATCCACTACTCCATGACTAAGGATCAATCTGACTTTACACCACAACAAAAATAGTGGCAGGAACATGGACTTTTAAAGGACCTCTGACAGTGGCTCATATGCATGCTATTCTCCTAAAACACTAGGAGTGCCCGAGTAGTATTTACTTTCATGGACTACATACTGCTCAGAAAAAGATTTGAATGGGAAGAATTTGGATATAAATATATATTGCATTCTCCTTAGTTTATTTCTTTTCTCATCATCCTGATTGTATGGGTACAGTTTTAGGCTTTAAAAGCTCACAGAGTCATTAACTGATAAGAAACAGGGTTTTACCATGTCAAATTCCAAAGCTGAGACATAAAAGGAAAAAGGCCTAAGAAGAATGAATTTAATGCAGATATTACATGTGGAGAAACCAAGAAACCTGAACATTGGAGCAGTAGTTCTCAAAGTGAAGTCCCAGACCAGGAGCAGCCTCACCTGGGCAGTCCTAGAAAGGAAGGTCCTCAGACCCACTCCAGAACTACTGAATCAGAAGCTCTGGGGAAGTGAGTTTCATCATATTCTCCCTTCCTTTCCCAAGAAATTTCTAGAAAAGACTCTACTCAATTTATATTTCCCTCACAACCCCATAACTTCTAGACCCTCTGTATTCTGGCTTCTCTTCCAGGGTATTGCTAAAATTGGTGTCATTTTAAAAGACACCAATCATCTCAAACCAATGACTTTTCCCTGTGCCTCCCTCTCCTAGACCTATATGAATTACCTAGCACTGTGGACATCCCCTCCTGCATGAAATGTCCTAATTCTTTTACTTCTATGACACAATTCCACCCTCCTGCCTCTCCATCTCTCGCTTGCTGTCATTGGGAACTACTCTTGATCCTTCCACAATACAAATACATGCATGTCTCAAAGGTTCAATCTTCAATCTTCTATTCCTTTTTTCATTTGCTGCTTTGGCATCTCAAGAACATCCAGAAACGAATTTACATCTCTGTACCCCAAATCTCTCTCAACCCTCTCAAATTACTCTAAATGACCTCATGACCTGTTTACCCTGAATGTCCTTCCAGTACAGCCAATGGTATGTATCCAAGAGGGAACTTCTCATTTCCTGATTCCAACAGTTCCTCCCTGAATGCCTGGTTCCCTGAACACTTAAGGATCATGGTCCCCATATCTTGCCAGTAGAGGAATCAACTCTACCAGGCAACCTGTTTCACCCTCATCATTCCCATTTCTCATGCCACCATCTTCATCCAAAAGCTTCCTATGTCTTCTGAAGCCCTACCACAAGACTTACCTATAAAGCTCACCTCTGATTCTATTTTCCCCTGTTCAAAAATATGTGGAGATTGCCCAAATGCAACCCAACTTTCTACCTAGCCTTACCTCACATTTATCCTCAACGAACGTTTTGCTCTGCTAATCTAGAATGCTCATCATGTTAAAAACATGTCCCAAGTTTCCTCACTTCTGACTCTTGGCCTTATATTACTACCTCCATTTTAAATATCAGTTTCTACTAACTATGTCTATAAATATCACTCCCCAACTCCTCCTTAACAACATGCATAATTTCCTCAAACTGAAGTTCTCCTTCACCTGTCTCTGTAGACCCAAATACGTATTACTAGCCTATGTCACTTGCCACCATGCACCCCTACAAAAGGTGAGACCCTCCACAACAGAAGTGGGTTTTACAGATCTGTGTGTCCTCCATTCTACCATGCATGCAAATATTTGTTCAAGGGCTAAATAATCTTAAAGCCAAAGTTCATGTTCAAGTACCATTTCTGCCACTTAACCAGCCTTTGGGAGTAGGTGAAACACAGTACAAACAGATAAACTTCACATACATAGCAATTTAGGAGGAATCAACTCAACCTCCTATGCTTTCTATACTTACTGCAGTATTAGGCTCACTGCAAAGTAAGGAAAGTATGTCAGATTTTTTGAACTACAAAAACATTCTAAAAGAAGATCAGCTCACTTATTACCACAATGGAAGAAGGGAGGCTTTCTATAATAAATCTTTATAAAATTTCCTTCATCTCACACCATGTCAGTTTACAGTTTTCAGAGGTGATAAACTATCTGCAATCCCAAAGGAAACTTCCTGATCTGAAGGAAGTTAAATAACAGAGCATTCATTCTGAAACATTCTATTTTGTCTGGAAGATACTCTCATGTTTGATCAGGAAGGCCGAGCAGCTAGATAAATTATAATGTGAAAGATGGATTGATTGCTTCAGTTAGGCATAAGTAATTCATTCCTGCAGTGATAGTCACTGCTTCTCTAGGGACAGAGGAGTGATAATCTCTCAACACATGGTGTGCAGGATATTCTTTGAAAATGAGAGGATACATTTAGAGTCATTTAGAACAATTGCTCTGTTCTAACCTTGATACCTTTCACAAATCAAAGCTTAAGCCTGGATACAGTACACAATCATTAGAGATTAGAAAGGGGTTAATTTTTTCCCCTAAAACAGCATAGACAAGAAGTGTTTTTATTGATTGATATGTAGCCACCCTTCAAGGTCAGTATTTTAGAGAAAAGGTATAAGAATTTATATTCAAGTTTTAATTTTGATATCAATTACAAAACACAGGGCTTACCACTGTGTTTCTCTATACCTGGTTTCATTTTATCTAATTCATAATTTCTCCCTTAAAATAGCAGAGAGATAAAATATACATACAGCTTCCATTCTGTCCCAAATTGGGATATGGAGAAACAGCAAACAAATAACAAATTACCTTAAATACTTTCTGAAATAAGACTGCTGAATTCATTCATCAAACAGCAAAAAATACTGATAGAGTTCCTGGGCTGTTTTAAAGTTAATTTGCTTTTATTTCAAAGTTCCAATAACAATTCTGATTAAATAAGTATCTAAATAGACATCATTTCATCCCTGCCTTCATATTTCACTCACTCAAGTGAGCACTGGAGTTCAACAACAAAAACTTGACTGAAACAAATTGCTAGAACCCTAGGGGTGGGCTGCTCAGGCTTACTGCAATTTGTTCCAGAAAAAAAAACTAAAGAGAGGTAGGTATAATACTGGAGAAAAGAAATCAACATTAGCTGTATCATACTGGGGTGACAAGAAACTAATAAGATTTTCTTCCAATGATTTTTACTACTTATAATAAAACATTTAATTTCATTAATTTAATATATTATCAAAACTCAAGAATAGTATTTTCTCAGCCAGTGCTATAACCACTACCAAAAATTAATATTAAAATAGAAGTTTTATTAAGTTACATTTTCCAACATTTAAAAAAAACCTTCATCTATAATGTAATTTCAAATGGCAGAAAATACATCCAAGTAGGGTTTGCAACCACAAGACCAACCTAAAATAAATGAGTGAGTATTGCTATTTTAACGTTAGCAGTAACTTTGTATTATATTGTTCAATAACAAAGAAACTACTTTAAAATGTATTAGTATTTCTATTAGGATTAATACTTAAACTAACATTAATGATAAAACTAGGATTATGGTTGTATACTGCATTAGAAACAACAAACAAAAAATAAAACACAGACTAATTCAGGAGCACAGTCAGCGAAACCATGACAACGGAAAGGGCTTACTTTGACATGGCTCTGGGCGCCAAGGTTGTAGATCTCAGTGGGCTTTACTTCATTGATGATCTTTACAAGGCAGGTGCTGTCAGTGAGATCACCGTAGTGTAACTTCATGTCTTTAGGGTTCAAAAACATAGCATTAGATAGAAGAAAATGACATAAGCCCAATTTTTTAAAATATCAAAGTTGAAATGCATATTCTTAAAGTCTGAAAACCAGACTGGTTCCAGATCAGCAAAGACTTTAAAAAGTGAAATATTCTTATTTGTTGCTGGTGACGCTACAGGATTTGTAAAAACAGACTAACTTTTTAAAAAATCACATTATGATAGATGTTATACAATTAACTATGGCTTCCAGGTGATTGTAAGGTATGCTACCTAAGAGTGAGATTCAGACAAAAAAAAAAAAAAAAAAAAAATCTCGCCCTAATGTGTATACTCTCTAAAAAAAACTAACACACTAATAAAGGTGAAGACAGCTATGTTCATATACTGTTATCTAGCAATTTTCAAGTACTTCAATAGCATCAATCCTTTAGCCATCCATGAAATGTGTAAGGTAGTGACATAGGTGATTAAAGGACAACTAGCCTATTCTAACCCTAAATCTAAGCATATCCTAACGTTGACTTCATTAGTCAAGGACACACATACTAGTATATGGATGATTTGGTACCTTGATCTTTTCATTATTTTTACACAATACTGATTTATGTCTAGATCCATTGGCAGTACCATTCTGTACTTTGCATAAAAATAACAACTTTAAGAAGTATTAATAGACTCCCAAAATGGCGACCAGCAGGAAGGTAGGGAGGGAGAGAGTGTGAGAGCGCAAGGAAGTGATAGAGGAGTGTGTGGATGCGTGTGGTGTGTGTGTATGAGCTAGGGACAGTTAGATTCTGCAGGTCTTCTAAGGGGCTGCTAAACCGGGCAGTCTTAGGCAGCGGAGTCCTGCTCCCTGCGTGGACACTCCTGGGCGGCCAGCACAGGCATGGGGACCACACCATCTTGGGAAACAGAGCTGCTTGAGACTAGGATCCTGGCCTCAGAACCACCCAGTCGGATCTCAGACTCATACCAGGACCCTGCAGCCACTGGGGACAGAGACCTGTGACCAAAGCTACAGACCTGGGGACAACAAAAGTTCAGAAATCCCCGCGGCAGATCCTTGAGTAACAGAGCCCATCCCCCCTTCCCCCAGGCTTGAGGGCAGCGCCAGAGTAACTAACTGATAGACCCACCCCTTGCCTGGGCCTCCAAGCTCCAGGAACTTTAGCCTGGAAGTGCGCCAGCACCTTGGAACTGAGCCTAAGCGCACTGCCAGCTTCTGAGCCCTGGGCTGGGAGCAAACACGCGAACCCCAGGAACTGAGCCTAGGCACACTGCTGCCTTCTGAGACCTGGGGCTGGGAGCAATCACGCGAGCACCAGGAATTTGTACTACATATCACAGGCCCAGGGACCCCGATTCTCTGGGCAGGTGGCAGCACCAAGCACCAGTGACTTGACTGTGTCTCTTTTCACCTGCGCCTGAGATCCTGATTTCCTGTGCATTCATACTAAGAGCCAGTGACTCCAAATCCTGGTGCAAGAGCACACAGGGACCCTGATTCTCAAGGCAAGGTCACGCAAAGCAACAGAGATTCTGATACTGGATTCTGGGGAACACTGACTCCTGGCGCACGCTAGGGGGCTCTGGTTTTAAACACACTTCAGGGGGATTTCTGTTTCAGCATGGTGCAGGCAGGGTCCCTGATTCTAAGGGCGCATATGAGGCCACATTGTGCACTGACAACACTGACTCTGAGCGAGCCTGGTTCCCACCAACCCAGAACAACCACACATCTTAGTGTCAGAGCTCTTCAGTATCACTAGGGTGGTGGGAGGCTCCCACTGCACACGGCCCAGGCCCACGCAACTCGACGTTTGAACCATGGGGAGATAATCAGAATGAAGAGACAAAACAACACCCAGAGGAAAGACAATGAGGAGTCACCAAGAAAGGACATTAATGAAGTTGAAGCATGCAACATGACAGAAAAAGAATTCAGAATAAAGGTTGTACAATTCATTAACTGGATGGATGAGAAAATCAACAACCTATGCAAGAATCAGGAAGAAATGAAAAGTGATATAGCTACAATCAAAAACACCATGGAAAGATTCAACAGCAGACTAGAAGAAGCAGAGGACCGAATTAGTGAATTAGAAGATAAGGCAGAGAAACAAGCTCAATCTGAACAGCAACTGGAGAAAAGAATTAAAAAGCAGGAGGAGAGCCTAAGGGAGCTTCGGGACAACATGAAACGACGTAACATACGCATAATAGGGCTCCAAGAAGGACAAAAAGAGCAGCAAGGATTAGAAAACCTATTTGAAGAAATAATGTCAGAAAACTTCCCAGATATGGGGAAGAAAAAAGTTATACAAGTACAGAGAGTGCCAGGCAAGATGAACCCCAAAAGACCCACACCAAGACACGTCATAATAACGATGGCAAATGTACAAGACAAAGAGAGAATCTTAAAGGCTACAAGAGAGAAACAGAGAGTTACCTACAAAGGATCCCTCATCAGATTATCAAATAATTTCTCAACGGAAACACATCAGGCCAGAAAAGAATGGACAGAAATTTACAAAGTGATGCAAAGCAAAGGACTGAATCCAAGAATACTCTATCCAGCAAGGCTATCATTCAAAATTGAAGGGGAAATAAGAAGCTTCACAGACAAAAAAAGGCTAAGGGAGTTTATCACCACCAAGCCAGCAATGCAAGAAATGCTAAAGGGACTGGTGTAAAAAGAAGAACTAAAAAGCCCAGAAAGAAAGCAGCCACAAAAAAAAAAAAAAAATAGAAATGGCTACGAAAAAGTACCTTTCAATAATAACTTTAAACGTAAATGGACTAAATGGTCCAATCAAAAGACATCGAGTGGCTGAATGGATAAAAAAACATGACCCATATATTTGCTGTCTACAAGAGACCCACCTCATTAGAAGGGACTCACACAGACTGAAAGTGAAGGGATGGAAAAATATCTTTCAGGCAAATGGAAATGAAAAATAAGCTGGGGTAGCAATACTTATATCAGACAAAATAGACCTCAAAGTGAAGGCCATAACAAGAGATAAGAAAGGCCACTTCATAATACTAAAGGGATCAATACAACAAGAGGATAGAACCCTGATAAACATATATGAACCCATTGCAGGAGCACCCACATACATAAGAAAACTCCTGGAAGATATCAGGGGAAAGATCGACAACAATACAATCATAGTAGGGGACTTTAATACACCACTGACATCACTGGATAAATCCGCTAGACAAAAACTCAGCAAAGAAACAACAATCCTAAATGACTCACTAGATCAGATGGACTTAATTGACATCTTCAGAACACTTCACCCCAAAGCCACAAAATATACGTTCTTCTCAGGTGCTCATGGGACAGATTCAAAAATAGACCACATATTGGGTCACAAACAAAGTCTCCCCAAATTCAAGAAGATTGAAATCATACCAAGCATCTTCTCAGACCACAAGGCCATAATATTAGAAATAAACTACAACAAAAACAACGCAAAATATTCAAACACTTGGAAGCTGAATAGCACGTTATTAAATATTGATTGGGTTACCAATGAGATCAAAGAAGAAATTAAAAACATCCTGGAAACTAATGACAATGAAAACACAACAATCCAAAACCTATGGGACACAATGAAAGCAGTCCTGAGAGGGAAGTTTATAGCTCTACAGGCCTATCTCAAAAAACAAGAAAAAATGGTAGTAAATCATCTAACTCTACAACTCAAAGAATTAGAAAGAGAGCAACAAGAAAAGCCCAGAGTGAGCAGAAGGAAGGAGATAATAAAGATTAGAGCAGAAATAAATGACATAGAGACCAAAAAAACAATACAGAAAATCAATAAAACAAAGAGCTGGTTCTTTGAAAGGATAAACAAGATTGAAAAACCTCTAGCCAATCTCACCAAGAAGCAAAGAGAAAGGACCCAAATCAACAAAATCAGAAATGATAGAGGCGAAATAACAACAGATCCCACAGAAATACAAATGATTGTTAATAAATACTATGGACAACTCTACTCCAACAAACTAGACAACCTGGAGGAAATGGACATATTCCTAGAAAAATACAACATTCCAAAACTTGATCAGGAAGAATCTAAAAATCTCAATAGGCCAATAACTATGGAAGAAATTGAAGCAGTCATCAAAAATCTTCCAGCAAACAAAAGCCCAGGACCAGACGGCTTCACAGGGGAGTTTTACCAAACATTCAAGGAAGAACTAAAACCTATCCTCCTCAGAATACTACAAAAAATCCAAGAGGAAGGAACACTTCCAAGCTCATTCTATGAAGCCAGCATCACCCTAATACCAAAACCAGGTAAAGACAACACAATGAAAGAGAATTACAGGCCAATATCCCTCATGAACATAGATGCCAAAATCCTAGCAAATCGGATCCAGCAGTACATCAGAAAGATCATACACCATGACCAAGTAGGATTTATCCTAGGGATGCAAGGATAGTACAATATCCGCAAATCAATAAACGTGATACATCACATAAACAAATTGAAAGAAAAAAGCCACATAGTCATATCAATTGATGCAGAAAAAGTGTTTGACAAAATTCAACACCCATTTTTGATAAAAACTCTCAGCAAGGTGGGAATTGAAGGATCATACCTCAACATAATAAAAACCATATATGACAAACCCACAGCCAACATCATACTCAATGGACAAAAACTTAACACCATTTCCCCTAAGAACAGGAACAAGACAGGGATGCCCACTCTCACCACTCCTGTTCGACATAGTACTGGAAGTATTAGCCATTGCAATTAGACAAGAAGAAGAAATAAAAGGCATCCAAATTGGAAAAGAAGAAGTAAAACTGTCCTTATTTGTAGATGACATGATATTATACTTAAAAAACCCTAAAGACTCCATCAATAAACTATTAGACTTAATAAAAGAATTCGGCAATGTAGCAGGATACAAAATTAACGCCAAGAAATCTATGGCATTTCTATACACCAATAGTGAATGTGCAGAAAGAGAGACTAAAAAAGCAATCCCATTTAACATCGCACCAAAAAAATTAAGCTACCTAGGAATAAACTTAACTAAAGAGGTAAAAGACCTCTTCTCAAAAAACTACAGGACGTTGAAAAAAGAGATAGAGGAAGCCATAAAGAGATGGAAGAACATACCATGTTCTTGGATTGGTAGAATCAACATCATTAAAATGTCCATACTGCCCAAAACAATCTATAAATTCAACACAGTTCCCATTAAAATACCAATGGCATATTTCAGAGACCTATAACGTATTCTCCAAAAATTCATCTGGAATAAAAAATGACCCCAAATGGCTGCAGTGATCCTGAGAAAGAAGAACAAAGTAGGTGGGATCTCAATACCAGATATCAAGCTGTATTACAAAGCCACTGTTCTCAAAACTGCCTGGTACTGGCACAAGAACAGACATATAGATCAATGGAATAGAATAGAGAGCCCAGAAATCAGCCCCAACCAATACGCTCAATTAATATTTGACAAAGGAGGCAAGAACATACAATGGAGCCAAGATAGTCTCTTCAATAAATGGTGTTGGGAAAATTGGACAGATACATGCAAGAAAATGAAACTAGACCACCAACTTACACCATACACAAAAATAAACTCAAAATGGATAAAGGACTTAAATATACGACGGGAAACCATACAAATACTAGAAAAATCCAAAGGCAACAAAATCTCAGACATATGCCGAAGCAATTTCTTCACTGATACAGCTCCTAGGGCATTGGAAACTAAAGAGAAAATAAACAAATGGGACTACATCAAAATAAAAAGCTTCTGCACAGCAAAAGAAACCATCAACAAAACAACAAGAAAACCCACTGCGTGGGAAAACATATTTGCCAATGTCGTATCTGATAAGGGCCTAATCTCCAAAATGTATAGGGAACTCATACAACTTAACAAAAGGAAGATAAACAATCCAATCAAAAAATGGGCAAAGGACCTAAATAGACACCTTTCAAAAGAGGACATTCAGAAAGCCAAGAGACATATGAAAACATGCTCAAAGTCACTAATCATCCGAGAGATGCAAATCAAAACAACAATGAGGTACCATCTCACACCTGTCAGACTGGCTATCATCAACAAATCAACAAACGGCAAGTGCTGGAGAGGATGTGGAGAAAAAGGAACACTTGTGCACTGCTGGTGGGAATGCAGACTGGTGCAGCCACTATGGAAGACACTATGGAGTTTCCTCAAAAAACTAAAAATGGGACTGCCATTTGACCCTGTGATCCCACTTCTAGGAATATATCCCAGGAAACCAGAAACACCAATCAGAAAGGATATATGCACCCCTATGTTCATTGCAGCACAATTCACCATAGCTAAGATCTGGAAACAGCCTAAGTGCCCATCAGTAGATGAATGGATTAGAAAACTGTGGTACATCTACATGATGGAATACTATGCTGCTATAAAAAAGAAGGAAGTCTTACCATTTCCAACAGCATGGATGGAACTGGAGAGCATTATGCTAAGTGAAATAAGCCAGTCAATGAAGGAAAAATAGCACATGATGTCACTCATTTCTGGATAATAAAGACCATTATAAACTTATGAACAAAAATAGATACAGAGGCAGAGCTGCCTCGAACAGACTGTCAAACTACAGCAGGAAGGCCGGGGAGGGTGGGAGAGTAGGAGGGGGGTGGGTAAGAGATCAACCAAAGGACTTGTATGCATGCATATAAGCATAACCAATGGACATAAGACACTGGGGGGTAGGGGAGGCCAGGGGATTGTCAAGGGCGGGGGAATAAAAAAAGGAGACATATGTAATACTTTTTGTAATACTTTAAGCAATAAAAAAATTTTAAAAAAAAAAGAAGTATTAATAAATAACCTAAATATTAATATTTACTAAGTACAATGAGGTCATCGTCCTAATGATGTCACTACTCAAAGAAGTAACACAAACCTTCAAATATTCCAGGCTCTGAGGTAAATATGAAATCAGTTATGGTTTAAAGCTGACTGGATTATGCCTGCTAGCTGGAAAAACTGGACAAGTAAAATAGGATAAACTAGGAAACTAAAAATTTCCATGTCCTAGTCCCAGTTCTGTCTTTTACATGGTGTGTGGCCTTGATAAAGTGACAACATCTCTCTGCCTTTATTTACTTATCTGTAAAATGATCTCATTCACTACCTTGGGAGCTGCTGGAAAGATCACATGAAAAAACACAGTTACTATGCCATGTAAATTCTACAGAGACATACTGGCAATTTCAGTAACAAAAATAAAAAACAACTGTAAATACTGACAATGATCTACACAGCAATTAAATACAATTTTTATTGCCATTTGGTTTGGGACCTGTCTTTAAAATTAAATAAATGTACAAAGATTGTTTAACATAATTACATTAGAACAAATATAAAAAGCAAGAATATTCCAAAACTATGGAGCTGGTCTTACTTGAGGGGATACGAACACCTGAAGAAGGGTGATCAAAGGCATGTCTTCTCTTGGTCTCTAGAGTGGCAAGACCTGACTAACATCCTTGTACCAGCCTCACCAAGATGACACTGTGACTCAGGGCCAGCAAGCAACAAAGGGTTTTCAAAGACTGCAGATAGCATTCATCACAGGTAATTTACAATCAATAACTACAACTTCATGGGCTTTGAGAAAAAGGACATTAGAAAATACCTCATAATATAGGACATTATAGAAAGAGATTTTAGAAAACACTATTACTTACTTCCTTCAATATGAGCTTGGGGGTTCTTATACAGATGTTCAATTCGGCCAGTATTGAATGAACTGGATCTCCGTACAATTCCATGAACCTGCATTTTCATAGTGTGGGACAATATGAATAAATTATAAATGTGCAATGAAGATTAATGAGCAACTCAGAGTTCTTTTGCTAATATTTAGCTTTGCAATATATGTGTGTGTGTGTGTGTGTGTGTGCGCGCGCGCGTGTGTGTAAAACTATCATTTACAAAAATTATTTTTGCATTATTAAAAAAGTCCCACTGCTTCCATTCCCCGCAATCACTGCACTCCAGCCACTGTGCTCTACCTCCATCTTCGTCAGTGTTTTCACTGCCAATCTCAAGAAAAGTAATCAGATAGTTACGTGATTTCACAGCAAGTGCTCAGTGGTACTTAAATGTCTCCTTTTATAAACACACACGTACAGCCTTACTGCTGACAAAAATATCTCTTACATTTGAAACTGAAGACAGACCATGTGAGTCCATATCAGTAAAATAGCCTTGCAACCTCTTTAACACTGAACAGGAGGCCAAAAGCTCCAAATACCACCACATCTGTTCAGTGTCCTTGGACCTTTATACCTTACACCTATTATACACACACACACACACACACACACACACACACACACACACACACACACACATATATATATATCTGGATCCACAAATATAATCAGAGAGCAGTTGCTGTGTGGAAAAGTAAGAAGCTAATAGATTGGGGACAAAACTTATGTACTACTAAAGACATACAGAAAATTCAAATAAAGAGAGGACTTTAAAAAAATTTTATCATTGACTTATCCATGATAAGTGTGAGGGGGAAAAAGTCATTGGAAAAGTGCATACCTGTCTAATACTGAAGAAAAGACTATTTGTATCTGATACATAAGATAAATTATTCAAGTTCTGGTACCACTTCCTTCTTGTGTCAGGATTGCTCCCTTCGTGTTGCCAATGCTAACAGCAGCTGTCACTACCTGTGCAAGTTTCAGTTCCACTGGTGGCAGTTTAATTCTTTCACTTATTTCAGAAGTGTTCCTTCTAATGCTGGGTAGTATCATTTGCAGCTGAATACACTTCTATATTTTAACTCAATTGTTTTCTGTCTATTCCAAACAAAAACTAATCTTTGGCATGACTCAAATATCCCAAGTGCAGCAGGAAATTATAAGCACATAAGACTTCTTTCAAATAGAAAGAAATGCCATCATCATTTTACATGTCATATATGAGAAACTGACATCTAAAAAAGGATACCACACTCCCACAATCAATAATTCTGTTGGTTAGTTGTTTTGTAGTCAAAGACAAACGCATCCATGCACCTATTTTCCAAAAGAACTACACCAAAAAAAATTTGGTAAACCTGAAAATATTTTAAGAAGGAAACATCACAACCTTGGTTGACAAGAAGGTAGAATCTAGGAAACATTAAATTGAGATGTGGGTATACATATCTATTTCTTAATTTAGAAGTGAAGAAAATAACATTTATATTAAAGTTGGGGTGTATTCTACTTGAAGGTCTCCAATTTTTCCAATTATTATTAACTAGAGACCCAGTGCACGAATTAATGCACGGGGCGGGTCTGGCCGGCCCATCCCAATGGGGACCATCGGGTCCGGGCCAGTGGGGGGAAGGGGCGGCAGGAGGTTGGCCGCCAGCCCCACCCAAAATTGGGGCCCAAACTAGGCTGGGCCAGTGTGGGGGCACGGGAGGTCGGCCAGTCCCACACCCAATTGGGGTGTGGGGGGCCGATCAGGGGAAAGGACAGCTGGAGGGAGAGATCACGGGTGTTCGGCCGGAGAGCCCTGCCCCTGATCAGGGTGTAGGGACCGATCAGGAGCTGGGCCGGCCAGGGGGATGGGCTGCAGGAGGTTTGGGGGGGCAATTGGGGCCCCCATCGGGCCAGTTGGCTGCCACAATGCAGGTCATAGCAACTGGGTCATTTCAGTCATTCAGGTCATTCCACCGTTCTGGTCACTGGCATAGATAGATAGATAGATGATAGATAGATAGATAGATAGATAGATAGATATCTAGACTAGAGGGGCCCGGTGCATGAAATGTGGCCCGGTGCATGAAATTTGTGCACTCGGGGGGACCCCTCAGCCTGGCCCGTACCCTCTTGCAGTCCGGGAGCCCTAGAGGAAAGTCCATGGGGAGCAGGCCTAAGCCATCAGACAGACATCCTTAGCACTGCCTGCGGAGGTGGGAGAGGCTCCAGCCACACCACTACGCTCACCAGCTGTGAGTCTGGCTTCTGGTTGAGCAGTGCTCCCCCTGTGGGAGCGCACTGACCACCAGGGGACAACTCCTGCATTAAGCGTCTGCCCCCTGGTGGTCAGTACACGTCATAGCGACTGGTTGTTCCACTGTTTGGTTGATTTGCATATTAGTCTTTTATTATATAGGATTACAAAGTTGAACCGCTCTACAAATTTAATAAATGTTGTTTAATTAAAAAAAAGTTCACAAATGTACTTATACAGAGCAAAATTTGTGTTTACCACCAAAGTTATTTCTGAAATATAGATTTTTCAGTTTTATTTCATTGGATAGAGAATAATTTAAATGTTCTAAAAACAGATAATTTAAACTTGACAATGAAAAACACAATAAAAATATGGTTTAGTCTATTTTTTCTCTTGATTGTTTAATTCTGGGTAAGTCACATATTGGAACAACTCAAAGAGAAATGCCATATACAAATATAATGTATATAAACATATAAGCTCTGACTTAAAAAAAGTAAATAATATTGATGGATTCAGTATGAAAATCACAACTGCACAAAGTTACAGCATGTAAATAATACAAGTGTGACATTAGAGCATTAAGCACTAGTGTTTTTTGTGTATCTTTTTTAATACCAAATAATGTGTTTTAATTTTCCTTCACTCCCAAATTTTGGTGTATGTATACAGGGAAAGAAAGACTTGCCAAATGCTTAATCCATGAAAGCAAGTGTTGTTCTAAGAACTATGAAAGCTAAGTCTGTCCACTTTTGAGACAGGTGAAATGCAAACTTCAACACAAGCCAAAATGTGTGCAAACTGGATAATCTCGTTAAGAATTTGAGACTAGTGGCTTTCTCTTTACAGAAGGGATGTAAGTGGGGTTTTTTTGTTTGTTTGTTTTTATAAGGATTTCGGGAGGAAAGAGATGAAGAGTTGGAAAACCAAAGTGAAAAGACAAATGAGCTGCATGTGACTCCCTATAAACTTAATCATAGTCATTATTAAATTATGGCAGTTTAAAAACAAAATATAATTTTGAAAAACTGAGATCTTAAAATAAATGGAAGTACTTTGACAAATTAATTTCATGTCCCATTTAACTAAGAGATGAAAAAGGAAATTTCAAGCTCTCTCAGTGTCAAAGTTGGTTTAACTTAAAAACCTAGAGTCTGTAATACTTACAGAAATCATTCCTTTCTTCTTCCCTTACTTTCTTCCCTCTATTTCTTTCTTCTCCCAACCAAGAAATCCATTTGTTTATTTGTTTATTTTTTTAGTATTTCATATAGTCAAAAATATAGAAAATTTTTACCACTGGATTTCAAATTCTTCAGTATCTAGATTTTTCTTGGAGGCAATAATACCTTCTAGGTATGTTTAATGTCACTTGTTTGGTTTTTTTTGAAAAAGTAAAAGTTTTGTGGGTAACATCAACAGCTAACATGTACATGGCAATGACTGTGTGCCAGACACTGTTGTTTATAGATATTAAAATATCTGATCTTCACAACAACCTTCCTATTATTACTCCAATTCTACAGAGGATGCTGCCTGTGACCATGCAGCTTGTAAGTGGTCATGTTAAAGGGTGGGTGGGGCCCTGGCTGGGAAGCTCAGTAGGTTGGAGCATCATCCTGCACACAAAAAGGTTGTGAGTTCGATTCCTGGTTGGAGTGTGCATGGGAGGCAACCTACCGATGTTTCTCTCTCACTTCCTTCCTTTCTCTCTCTCTCTCTCTCTCTCTCTCTCTCTCTCCCTCCCTCCCTCCCTCCCTCCCTCCCTACTTTTGTCTCTCTCTAAAATCAATAAACATATGTATCCTCTGGTGAGAATTTAAGAAAAGGAAAGGATGGATATGGCCCATCATGCTAACACTCAGTATGGTTTCAAAATGAAACCATAAAAAGCTTTTTTTCACCACAGATTCTAGGATATCCAACAACCCAGAAAAGTATTTCAGAGATCGTCACAGATCAAGAATGGAATAGCAGAAACTCCATATCCTAACAAATAATTTCTCAGAGATAACAATTACTCAGTCTTTTATATCCCATTTTTGTTCTCCTGATCTCCCTAGTTATGATACCTTTCCTGGAAGTGAAACCCACAATTCACCTATTCTTTAACTTCTTATATGTGTTGATGTAGTTGTCACCCAATTATTTAATGTAGGTTGTTCACATATTCCCAGATAAATTTTACCTTTTAAAGGATTTAATTCTGTCCTTCATTTATCTGGTTTCTCTCTGTATTTGTGCAGTTTACATTCAATATTATTTTGCATTAGTTTCAGGTGAACAAAAATATGCTGCTGGCTCACTGCAAATAATGACTCTAGGAAAGCACTGGAAACTAGAATGCAGTTTCGTAAGAAGCTTCACTTCTGTCAGTTTTCCTTGTTCCCTTATTATGGAAGGAATAAAACATGCACAGGGCTAGGATCCTAGGACATGTAACATCCTGCCTTCCACTAATGCTAAGTAGTGAACTGGACTAAGGAGCCTTCTACAAAACCTGTAGCACCAGGCACTGTATGACTCTATTACTCCCATAACCATAAGCCCCATAGACCCCACAGAACTCCTCTGGACTGTCTACCACAGACTGTCATACTGAATCTTTATGATAACCTTGGGGAAAAGAGTGCCTAACAGCCCCATCCATGGGGAGGGACTAAGCCTTAGAAAGGTCGATTGACTTTCCCAAAGCCCCAGAGGCAACAAGTGGCAGAGGAAGGTTAGGACACAGGTTGTTCAGCAATAGGGTCAACTGGCTTCCTCTCCACAGGAAGCTGAGCAACCTCATTCCCCTCCTTCACTCT